GTCGTCCGTATTGCTTCGGCGACGACTTGCCCTCTGCCGCAATAGGCATTTCGATATTGTATGACTGTATCGTGTCCGTTCTCCGGTGGCGAGTAACCCCTCTTCCGCGACAGCTCCAGGGTTTCAAAACATCTCCACCTGCAGGACCCCTCTATGGGGCAGCAATGCATGGCATTCTGCGTTTGCTGCCAGGGCTCACGCTCATCGGGGGAACTCGGTGGGCCACATGATGCCAGACCTTGACCGAAGAAGCATTAGTGCCAGACGTTTTACGCGGGGAAAGAGAAACATAGCTGAGCTTTCAATCACTTACATGGATATATGCTAGTATGACTTGCGTTGAAGATATGCCCTAACTTTGAAGAGTATAGTAAGACTAAGAGGCGACTGTATACGCCAGGGGTAAGATGCGAGGTCAGCCAGGTGTAATGGTGAAGAGAAGCGGTGACCGGTCATGAGGGGGAAACCAACGAAAGGCACAAGGTACAAGGCAGTCCATTTAGGTAGGACAAGATCATATTTGGCAACTGATAAACAGCCGATAGGGGCGTGGTGCAGCCACGCGATCAAGGATTGTGATGCAACTAGATCTACCCGTGTGGGTCGAGAGATTGGCCTACGAGGATGACAGGCTAGGAGAGCTCATCGTCTCCACGGCCAATACTGCACGACCAGCTGGCATAAAGCGGTCAAGCTAGAGATCTCCAACACAATTGCAAAGGGGCGTGTCGTGGCAAGGGTGCCGCTTTCGGACGTCTGTTCAGTCTACCCAGTGAGTAACATGGACGTATGATATAAGTTGACTACTATGGCGACTTCTTTAGCACTTATATCGTCCTGGCTATCTGCAATCCCAATCACTTGACAATCGCGAATCCACGTTCAAACGAACTAGCTCAACTCTTGCAATTTATATAACCTGAATATTACATACGGATAAAGAATGGCTGCTGCTTCCGTCCTCATTCCTCTTTCCGTCATCAACCAGAACGGAGGTGTGCTCCCGCCTAGCGCGCTCTCGCAACAAAGCCCCCGCCATGGTCGGAGTAGAGGTATGAGTGTGAATGGCAAGAGTGCAGGGGGTCGAGGGTACCGGGTAGTTGAAAATGCCGATGCAACTGTCGACAAGGCAGTGGCGTTTGTTTTAAAGCGTGCAGTCTTGCAGGATGAGCTTGATTCCGAGGCCGAGGAGGGCGATTATCTGATCTGCGATGCAGAAGGATGGGTTGGAGTCGCTGATCTCGTGAGTCCCTTGATATCCTACTTCACCCTGGCGAGTGAGCACCGCGGTAACTAATACCATGCCATAGTTGATGCAAACCAGAATGAAGGATCTCGGAATAACACTTAACGATATCCGTCATACCGCGTCCTCATCCAAGGCACGCTTTATACTCCGACAACATCCTGAATCCGATGCAGAGAAGGTCGAGTCATACCAGATACGGCGGGACTCTAAACGCGACAGCGCATCCCAGACAACGCTAATTCCGGAGGGCGAGCCGCTGAAGGCCGACTCCGAGAACCTGCCAGAGTATATTGTTTATGAGACAACCTACCAAAACTACCCTCTTGTTGTTGCCTCCGGTAACATTAGGCGGGCTGACGGCGCTGCACATTTATCTTTCCTACCCGTTGCCGCTTCAACAGCAACGAGTCGTCCGAGCAAGGCCGATGTCAGCATTTGGATCCACCTCCGCACTGCGATGAAGCTGGCCCCAGAACTGAAGTGGCAGTTCACCACATCGGGCAGGATCATCACCACTGCAGAAGAAGTACCTCAGAGCGTGTGGAAGAAGGCTGTTGCCCGGCGTCCAGATATCGGACTGCTGTTTGAGGACGGCGCAGTGCACAAAGAAATTCCTGAAGGTCTAAGAGGTAAAGGTGCTAAGGGAAAGGCTAAGAAAGGTAAGGGGATGTTGAAGCAGGAAGGCCAGGGCCGTGTTGATAGTGAATCCGAGAGTGTCGAGGAAGAGGAAACATAACATGCTGTATGATGTTATTGAAGTCCCAGACATGAAGCCCGTAATAGAGGCGAGCATATAAGCCGGATTATAGATAATAGAAAATAAATACCTGGCATCCTAGGCAAGGTTTCCTTGCAAAGTTTCCACACTGTTCCCTTTTTAAAAGCCAAATGGAACAGTCTCGTAGAACTTGACAAGCCGGCACAGTTTATACTGATTAGGGGAACATCTCATCGGCATAGTGCTGCTCTTGAGGCTTCATTAGACTACTAGACAGCAAGCTCCTCTTATACCACTCCTAAATATCGCATTGTCCTGAACGCTAGTTTGCGGCCTGGACGCCATATCGTCTTATCGGTGTTGAATACCCCGTATACGAAACCGAGCGCTAGTCCACCAAGGTGTGCTGCGTGCGCGAGGCGGATCAAGGGATACTCGACAATGAGGCCCCCCATATCGAAGAGAGCAACGTACCCCATTGCATCCAAAATTGGCACCGATCCAGGGACGAAAAGTATACCAATCGGAGTATCAGGGAACGAGACTCCGACGACGCCAAACAAGGCAAAAAGTGCCCCGCTAGCCCCCAGCGCTGGCATGTAGGCCGAGCGCCCCCCAGGCCAGATCGCTGCCGCGTGGTTGGCCAGGGAGCTCAGAATACCAGCGGAGAGGAAGAATGCTGCGAGATGCGTATTGCTCTGCTCGAAATTCCGGGAGCTCGCGGCGCCGGGTATTAATTGGAGCATGGCATACATGTTGACGCCGAGGTGGATGATGCCGCTGTGCCCGAAAACTGAAGTGAGGAGGGTGTAATTGGCAGACAGCGCAGGCGCATGCATGAAGCGATATGCTAAGGTACTGTTGGCAGTAGACGCGAGATGAACGAGCGTAGATAGCCCTATGAAGCCCCAAGCCAGTCCCTGAGAACCAGAAAACTCGGGGCGCTCAGAAGGCGATGTACGGATGCTACGTACTAAAGCATTTGTAGACTGTTCATCCCGATAACGCTCCAGCTCCGCAAATGTCATCTTGTAAGCCCGGCGCCCCTCTTCAGCCCCGGCATGCTTCGCATCTTGGTAGACTTCATAGGTGGCAAACCCAAGATAAATGCCGCTACACGTGGCAATGCTCCAAAGTGTAGGGCCCAGCAAGCGGATAGGTGGTTCCGGTAGTGGTGGTTCAAGGCCGGTGTTATATAGCCGTTTGAATGGCCTGAATTTGGATCTGAGCAGTCTTCTAGAGCTTGCCAAAGTTCGGAACATCTTGGCACCGAGACAGCACAAGTGTATATAGATGGCTTGAGTGGGAGAAGGATTGAGTAAAAAGCAACATTGAACAGTCGGCACGAAGGGGTCTGCTGACTCATCGTGACGGGGAGGCGGGCCCACCAAATCTGCTGCCCTCGTTATGCATGTTTACAGGCAAAATACCTACTATAACAATATAACACTGCGCAATCAATGTCTACTCTTGCGTTTACACACAAATATGCAAGAATTGGTATGAATTTTGCTAGGACAAGAAAAAAAAGGAAATGAACCCCTAGCACCATTGTACATACAATTAGTGTTTTGTTGAACAAATATAAAAAAAAGGATCGCAAGCTTTGCGGTGAGTGTGGATCGAACACACGGCCTTCAGATTGATGAATGAAGTGTTACTTCAGTCTGACGCTCTCCCATCTGAGCTATCCCCGCTATGTTGTAGCTCGTCCATCTATCCTACTCTGTCAATTAATGGATAGGAATGACGTCAGCCGCCCTACTCTGAATCTGAATTTTCGTCTACATACATATAGAGTAAATAGATACTCTGTCGGCGACAAGATAACTATCACTAAATTTTGGTGCTAGAATGATGTCACGTTTGTCCGTAAGGGCAACATGGGTAAGCAACTTCGTCAATTGTAGAGTTGTAGCTAAGTTATTAAGTCTACGAGTGCTCGTAATCTATTCTCTACGTGCAAATATAGCTAGGAGTCGCTAGTAGTAAGACTCTATTATTCATTTCGGCTAGAATATTAAGATCACCTGACTTCCTATGATCTGCATGCTCAGCTTGTAAGATATCGCTGGTTATATATAACTTCAGTCGTAGGTAGTTTCAACATGATATTTGAAATACCAGGGAGTCACCTATTTGTGGCATAGGAACAGCACCATCAGGTACGAGCTGCTGCGTTTATGGGCCAAGCTTGGATTGGGCACGCCCCTCATTCCATGTTTTCGGGGCGTGATATAGGAATTGGATGCTCTCATTGAGCTATCGCCGTCCTCTCGGAATTGGCCATTGCGGCTGCAGCAGTTAACACTATTCCTCTGAAAACCATCACCACTCAAATAGGTTACGCACGAAGCAAAAGAGAGGAAAGAGCGGGTTCTAGTAGAGAGACTAGACTTTTTTCACGCAACTGAGCCTCGACCATACGAAAGAGGGAGACATGGCCGCTTTCTGGGATACAATTTACGAATGGCGAATGCGATTGCCTTGTCAGATAACATTCACGAAGCCTAAGACAACCATGCTCCTCTCAGACCACGACAACCTGATCTGATAGAAGCCTAGTAGATCATAAGAAACGAGACCAATGCGTCTTCCTCCCACGCAGCCATTTCAACTACAATGCAACCACAAACAGCCGAATCCGAGAGTCGAGAAAAGCAGGCGGGAGCACATCTGCACAGCAATACTTTCCTACTTTTGAAGGACATCGAACGCAGCCCAATCGTACACTTTGAAAATAACCACGCAGCGGCTTGAAGGTGGGATAGGATGGCAAGGAATGGTGGCTGCAGATTCAAGAAGAGATCAAAACGATGAGACGTTTATCATAGACATCAGTTAAGTAGTCTTGTTGCAGTGAGAATCCCCATGTCTGTTGTCTTCCTAGGTAGCCACTCACCCACTCTTACCTTTATTGTCCGTATGTTTAGTACACAGGCTGCGGACGGCTAATCTCCCGGTGCCATTTCTACAGGTACTCTATGGTAAATACATTCCTTGAGAATCAATTAAGTCATCAACCACCAATCAGCGGGGATAGCTCAGATGGGAGAGCGTCAGACTGAAGTAACACTTCATTCATCAATCTGAAGGCCGTGTGTTCGATCCACACTCACCGCAGTAGATTTTTTTGGTATTTTTATCTGATAACATTTTTGTAGTCTTGATAGCAAAATAGGAGGGGTGCTTGATGACCATCTGCGCCCAATGGGGCGATGCAGATAGTGAGCTCGCCAAAACTTCCAGTCATGGAGGCTTTTATGCCCCCCTGCACTTTATGCGGGGGCTACCTACTACTCACGTACGTAGTACTCCCTACCACCCAATAACAAATTAGTTCTATTACTATTTAGATAGCTTCTTCCAACTTGTATTACTGAATTCTATGCTATACAATCCCCCCGCAGTCAGCAATTGCGTGCGAAGTTCTACATCGTAAGTTGTAGCATCAATCCGCATCGGAAAGCAGTTCCTGTATAAGCGCCCTTATCTCCCAATCGCTTTCACCTGGGACACCCCGACTCGCATAAAACTGCCCATCTCTCTCGTTGATGCACCTTCTCACCATAGTGGCTAGGCCTCCGGGCTGGGGGCGGTTGCTAGGACGCGTCGCAAGGCACGCACATACTAAACCGCGCAGCGCGTTGTCAAGCTTCGGGTAACAGTCCCTCTCGCCCGCGTTGGGGAGCAAAGCGGCCGCGTTGCTCAGTATTACCTGGGTTGCGTTGAGGCGGAACTGTCTAGCCTCGGATTCCGACGGATGTATGCTTCGAGGCGGGTCCCACTCGAGGGCTATAAGCTCGACCATGATCTGTACATCAACAACGATAAGCTAGTTTGCAGCGGGAGACGAAGCACCGGACAACTTACAACTCCTATATCGAATATATTCTGCTGGATGGCATAGCGATTATTCTCACTACACAGTAATTATGTTACGGCATAGCTTTCTTGGTGCACTGACGGCGTATTGATAAGTGCCCGCATACTTCCTAGGTCGATGAGCTTCATAACTGGCGTGAGAGTGTGCTCTAAATCGGCCTCGTCCGGTCCGTCAAAGTCGCCAAACATTACTAACTTCAGGTGAGCTTATTGATTGCGAACAGGAAGTCGTCTAAGACTAGTCAACCTACAGTTCCCGTCGTGCATGTCCGCATGGATAAGTCCCCCGCGGGCACTACCTATAATCTGCTCCACCACTGGTTCAGGGTTTTTCCCCATCCGGTTTCTCGGGTGGCCAGCCCATGGCAATACACATACGAATCACTAAAGGATGCATACGTCAATAGAGCTGGCCTTCTCACATCGTGTCAACACAATGCTGACTCTAGACTCACAGCACAAGAAAAACCTCCAGAGAATCCTATTTGGCAACTCGATGTCTTTTTTCAACGCTCGACTAATAAGTTTTTGCAGGGTTCCGCTATGATTGCATTAGCTTTGACCTGCAAGAAAATTCCCGCCAGTGTTCGTATAATTACTTCTGCAGCCATTCGAGGTAAACCCAATTATCAGCATCCACTATAGTAACATTCAAGATCAGCAACTGTTATCTCGAGTAAGAACGGAAATACTCCGCAGACAACAAATGCTCCTAGGATGTGGAAATAACGGAATATATCCCGCGAGCGACTTACTGTACTGCGACTTAATATCAGAGTCCCTTTTCTCAAGAGGATCGTTCGGCGGCGTTATAATATTCACGACATGCTTGGCCCATCGTAAAATCTGTACTAGTGTTAGTCATGATACAGCATTCACACTGAATCTTGAAGGGCTATTATTAGAGGGACCACAAACCTCTAGGTTCTTCTTCTCGCTTACCATTGTGCTTTCCTCTTTCTCCTCGTCGTCTTCGTCGTCATCATCGCCGTCGTCCATTTCTTCGTCGCCCTTCTCCTTGCCATCGGCATCGTCATCACACAAGTATATTCGATCCGTCTTCACTAATATGCTAATGTTAGCAAACTCTACCTTCAAATAATGCCATCTCCGCTATTCGAAGTGGGCACCTCTACCTTCAATGGAGATAATTTGAGAATAAGGTATACATACAGACTATGTGCTGCACATTGGGTGCTGCGGCAGAACCTGTAGAGCCCGGGTCCGCCTCTGCAAGGGTGTACTTGACCTTCCATGCTAAACCGAACACTCCAGCCCCTACAGCACTCTCCATCTGGAAGCGCCTTTCCCCATCTCTATTGAATTGGTCCGCGAGACGCTTCTTTGAGCGTAAAATATCATTAGGGTCATATCTATGGCGTTCATAGCATTAGCGTTTGTTCCGAGCCGGCTCGTGCTAATTAAAACATAGCTATCTTCAAGCCGCAGGGACAATTCCCACCCAGCGCACAATGACACGAGGTAGAATACCCATAGGCCTTGACAACGAGCACATACCCTCTTTCCTCCCAGTCTCGGAGAAACTCGTCTTCCATTTTACTAAGTTCAATTTGTTATTGTATTTTGCGCCTCTCGTGGTATTACTGGTGTAAATTCACTAGATGCTAGCTATCTCTATACTTTCCTTTCCATTTTATTACTATCTGTATATGTGAGTTATAATTAATCATTTTGCCAATTAGGAAGGTTCAGAAAAAGCAATAACGGTATCAAAACAATAGACCGTTCTATCCCATCTTAGTAGTTAAACCTCAAAGGTTCTTTGACGAATGTTTCCGGCACAAAATTTATTCGAGGCTAGTTCTTTATACTCACGTCGGGACAAAAGTAGGGGCAGCTGTTCGATTATTATAGAGAATAATATGATTGGTAAATCCACCTATACAATACTAAAAGCCCCTGTATAGATAACCGAGTATTCGAGTAGAAAGGTAGCTTGAGCTACAGCTAATTAAACAATAAAGACCATAATTGATGCTCAAACTACTTAGACAAAACAGCAGGGAAGCAAGTATAGGATATAAACTAACTCTCACGAAGCACCATTAGCTTTTGAGCGATCATGGGGACATTGATTCAGCCTGGGGATGAAGCTAGCATGTAGAAAATACTGCAAGCTTTCTATCTCGTTGGTCTATCAGAATTAAATCTTGAGGTGGAGTACTAGCTGGGCGCCTCCTCGGAAGTATACTCTCCTTCTTGGCTCCGTAGCACCCCAGATAAGACTTTGCTAAGGCTTCTCCCCATCTCCGATTTCCTACCCAGAAACCAAAGTGCCTTGACACAAGTGTCGCAACGCCTCAAGCTTTCCTTTAATTCCTCACTCTCCTGGCCTAAGACGGCCCAATCCTGCCGCCGTAGATCCTCTGCCACGTTCAAGTGGTATATCGACGCCTTAGTAAATGCTCTTATAAGCAGTACGGTCCAAGGCTCTGTCAAGATGGAGCCCTCATTGACGGCGAAATGATAGCCAGGCAGCTGTTCTGTCGGCATGCTACTGATATCCTGAGGTGTAGTTACTCTTGCTAGATCAGCCAATTCTACCGCACTTGATTTTCTAATCCTCTTTGACAAGCTAATACTGAGACGGTTCAGGCTTGCTTCTTCACTTCCGAGCCCATTTTGGTCGACGAATTCGATCAAGTCAGCAAACATGAGTGCTCCTAGGTGCCAAGGGATATGGATGCAGGGAAACCAGCTCTTGACACGTACGGGAACAGAGTCGTAGTTCTTAATTAGGGATCTGAAGAAAGCCCCATGTGTTACGTTCCAGTATCGGTATATCTGCGTTGCGCTTTGGATGATCTCCTCGATTACCAGACCTCGTTCCCTCCGCCTCAAAGTGTTCTGGAGATACGAAACGTACCGAAAAAGCAGTACTTTCACCGCTGCTGATCTATTGATGGCCTTCACGGCGGAATCATAAGCGCAGGGCCATGATAATATCGAGGGCTTCTCTGGGTTGTCTTGAGCGAAAAACCCAAGGCTCCAACGGTAGCTGGCTGGCCGCTCTAATGTAGCAGACGAGCTATAGGTAGCATCAGGTTGGCATTCTTCGTCTGATAAAGCAACAGGCCGCTCGTTCATTGATGAAGAAACGGTGTCAAACATGACTGCAAGCCAGTACAGTTGGCCAATAGTACCTCGCTCCTCGGAAGTCATCTTTGAAATAGCATCTCGCTGTTGTTGTGAAGTATGAGTAAAAATTGATCTTAGCATCCCTGTCTCATTTGCTTCGAAGTGGAATTTGAGAGCTTGCATTTTCCGGCCTGCTCTCTCCGTATAGATTGGCGGCCCATCTTGAGACATGATATGTATGATGTCGGGCAATGAACCTTTTATGTCACCAAAGCTGCTGTTCTTTGAAGACCCAGGGGCGCCGACCCTAGTATAGTCGCTGGTTGCTCGTGGCTTCTGGATTAGACCAAATATAAGCTCTGCATAAACGATCCGGTATGATTCCAAATCTGCAACATCTTGAAGTGCCTTCTTTGCTTGTTCCCAAACTGAATTTTGTAAATTTTGCTCGAATTCATCTTCAAAGTCATCTGTCATGTCTTCTGATTGGTCCAGCTCGTCTAGAGAAGTTGAGAACATCGTTTCTCTCCGCCGGCGGCCCTGAGCCCATTGAGTAGCAAACGCCATTATAACTAAGTCGAGGGCCTTGGATGCTGCTTGATTCTCAGAATGGGTAAGCTGGATTAACCCTGTCGACTGAGCTACTCGATCAAGCAGCTTGACGCGACGATAAATTGAATTTGACCGCACTATTCCCCGATTGGCAGCGGCCGATGCGCCGTCGCTCATTGATACAGCTGTATCTAAAAAAGAACATAACGGTAGCTGTAACCTTGGCCGCATGTTGTACGGGCATGTATCCTCAGCCAACCAGCACTCTAGGTTGTTCTCTAGCACGTCATGGTATATTCGGAGCAGGCTTTCCGTAATTAGATGGTTGTTGAAACTCGTTGAAGGTCCCTCGCTATTGCAACTGGGGGAAACTGAAGCAAGAAGCCGATCAGAACAGTCAGTACTTCGTTGGCGCGTTCGGTAGTTCTTTCGAAAGGAGTTTCTCCTATGATGTATAGATTTACTCGAACAACCGCGGTTGGTGGAGGTTAAGTGTGGCTGAGAGACCCTTGAGATAGTCGAAAGATTATCAAGGTCTGCGATTTGTGAAGCAGATCTAACGTACGGCTGAGGGGAGCCATATTCTT